GGTGATTCCAAAAATAATGATGGTTTATTGATACCTATCTTTGTGAGGCATGTCTCTGGGGAATTGACCCTGACAATAAATTTGAATCAATCTTCTCAACAATTGATGCACTTGTACGCACAGAAGACGAAGACGAAACTTGAATGCCAATATTTTGTATATGGGACAAAAATACTTGAACCCCATGGTAGCCTTCTATTTTACAGGGTAGAACGGGACACTACGGTTCATGTTTGTACTAGGCTTCTCGGAGGAATGTAAGCTTATTGTTCTTTATCTCCCTTCATTTATATTTTTTCTAACTCTTTTGTTTTATAATTTTTATTTATTTTTCTATTGTTTATGTTTTAGGGTCACCATAAATGAATATATTTTAAGTAAGAAAAAGAAGTTATTAGCAGAGGTTACTTTACCAGATGGAAGGGTTTCATTGATGATGACTAAAGAAGGATGCCTATTTTTGTCCACTTGGTTAAAATGCTTTACAAGAGCATTTGCTGATTCAAAAAGCTGGGAGGGTGATTTTGATTTGGACGATTTTAGGGTTATCAATGACCACGTTGTGGTGATTAAAAGTGCTGAGAGGAGGCTTATCAGTAGCTCAATGCATGCTGATTTGACTAGGCTGATTGGTCATATAAAGAAAATTTTCCACAGGAAGAAATCAAATTTGGTATCAGAATTTCCACCGTATCTGGAAAACTTAACTAGTTTTCTAAAAACATTGAAAAGTCCTATCTTAACCGATTCAGATAAACTATTTATTGAGACACACATATGTTGTGTGGAGTCTACTGCCAGGGGCATATTATTAGTTATGTTGCGAAGAAAGCAAAAAAGCTTTGCTAAGTCTGTACAGCAGGCATGGGATAGGGCAATGGCACGGCCTGGGCAACATGTGGTGGATTATGCTAATGCTTATAGTCTCAACCAAACTGCAGTGTTTGATGACATAATAGCACATGGTAATAATCATAATGAACCATATACTGATTCGAGGCCCAGCACGTTCAGACTTATGCGGGATGAATATATGCATGCTCCGGCAAATCGGTTTGTGAGTTCTCTCTCTCTCTCTCTCTTTGATCAAGTTTGAAACTAATATTTTGTACAACAGATTTGCTTTATTACTGCTATAATAGAAACGCCCAAGCAAACTATGGCCTCTTTGGACATGCATGTACATGTCCAACTTTAGCTTAAAATTAGCTGCCTTTAGCATCTGTCAATGGCAGCCTTTGGTTTTGTAACGTGATGCACGTTATATTACTGGCAAGCTCTCCGTCGCGTGGTTGTTGACTAGGATGCCAGCCTTTGGCGTCCATTAGATGGCTTGGAAGACCCTTTATGCCATGTGTAGTGACCTTGAGAAGAACACCATTAGGAGGCGAGTGGAATCAAACAAGTGTGTGAGCCCAGGCTATACCTAAGATGGCATTATCATATATAGCCTGACTATAACTTGGTATGGATGGCCGGCAAAGCTTGGTAACCCTCCTAGACGCAATCAAACACTCGAACATTGGCCGTACAGCTGTGTGCTAGGGATTAGCCACTCAACCAGTGCAAACACACCCACATATGCACACTTAATGAATTAAGTATATGCATGGTTACTTGCACAGCCAAACTGCATCCCCCTCAAAAATGATAAAACAATGATTTTAACTAAAATTCTAACGTACAGTAATCCTATGACACAGGTCGATACACCTATAAGGCAAGTGCACCCTCTCTCATTTCTAGCTTTGCCTACATGGCTACTTGCACAACCAAACAAAATCTGTGCCAGTAGAAAAAATAATCATATCAGGAGATATAAATATGTCTTAAATTCCATCTGTTGGCAAATTTAATCTTCTCTTTTTTCTTTGCCATGTGTTCCACTTAATTATCTTAATCTGTTCTGTTTTTTTCTAGGACAAGTCTTCTAAGACTTGGAAGGAAAAATTCAAGAATGATGATGGCATTGAGCTTATGATACCTGCAAACAATCCAAATTTTATTCCTGACATCATTTATCGTTGGATCATCAGTGACAAAGTTGACATTGAGCAGGAGTATGTTTTAAAACCTGTAGCTTACTTTGTCTCATCGTTTAAAATAGAAATCTAACATTTATAAATTGTAGGCTACTTGCAGCTCAGGTAAGGTGTACCTGCCACTTTTGTTATCCTCCACATCTAGGTATTTATCTGCACTTTCTCAAAAAAATTGTTGAAAAACATGTCTAGATATCCTTCTGCGTGATGCAAATCATACCTAATATCATATTTACAGAAGGAACTTCAATATCATATACGGTTTATCTTAATTTAGTTTAGAACATGGAGAATGCTAGACGAATGAACTTATACTGTGTAAAATACCATCAAAGCACTACAATGTGAAAGTCTCGCAAATTTTACAAGAGGCATAAGTGTCAGTTCAGCAGATAACTTATTGAGAGACAACTTAGATGGCATATTTCCCACTTGACCAGAACTCCACATACCTGCCCAGGAATCAACCATATGCATGCATTCTTCCTTGCACGGATCTGATGATGTTCTTTAAATTTTCATTCTGAGCATTTTTATTGTTTCCTCAAGTGACTAGTGCAGTTATAAGGCTCGGGTGTATGTATCCTTGACTCATTTGACTGCTGCCTTGCATTGCTGAAGTCACAGTGTTGGACTATCAGACAACTTTGATGAAAATTTGTTATTCCATGTTTACCTTTCCTCCAAAGGCAACAGTTTAGCATCTCCATTTTTCTCAGTTGTTGCGACTACTACAGCTTCTTGTTTCCTGAGTACCATATTTTTATGTCCTGTGCTACCAGATTGAATAGACTGGCAACCTAGCTTCCTTGGTGTTGAACCCTTTACTTTGTAGTGAATCAACGAATGGAAACAATGGTGACACCATGTCAGTACATCTTTTTCTGTAATATAAGAAATTGGCATTATAGTTTCCTAGGATTTTAGCTAAAAAAGTGATGGTCTTTATGTCACCCTTTTTGCAAGTTTTTATAAGAAGGTAATATCAGTAAAAATATTAAAAAGATGCCTAGTCATTTCCAGTTGTCCTTACCCATTCCTCCCAAGCATTGTAGTGCTTGTCAAAACTCAAATCACATCCTAACTTTGTGAAGGGTTCCTGCTTATTGTTTTTCCCCCAAGCATTCCTGCTTATTCTTTTTGTTAATATTACTTTGTATATGAACTTTGATCGGACCTCCATGCATTAATATGTTTCCTTAATCAGTAGTTTAAATTTGTATGTCACTAGAGTACGCATATATTGGCCTCACATGAACAACAAATTTGAGTAATTAATATCATGAAGTCTATCTAATAGTTGCTGTCTTTTTCAACTCTTTGCGGAGTTTTCATTCGGAGTGGAGATGTAGTGTCATGTCCTTTTCATTATTGCTACTTGTTAATATGCTTATCTGTATCAGCTTTTGCACTGGATGATGCATATGTATTCTCTTGGCCATATATAGGTAACAAGGATGGAGGAGAATCTTCAACGGCCGGGAAGGGGAAACAGGCTGAAAGTTCAGGGTCTTCACAGCCTTCAACGCCAAGTTCAAGGCAGGGATCCTACCTAGGCGCTGGGAGACCTCCATATCATCAGTCCCAAGCAGCCGCAAGTTCAGGGTTTTCACAGCCATCAACGACAAGTTCAAGGCAGGGATCCAACCTAGGCTCTGTGAGACCTCCACGGCAGCAGTCCCATGCAGCCGCAAGTTTAGGGTTTTCACAGCCTTCAACGACAAGTTCAAGGCAGGGATCCAACCTAGGCTCTGTGAGACCTCCTCCATGGCAGCAGTCCCATGCAGGCACAAGTTCAGGGTTTTCACAGCCTTCAACGCCAAGTTCAAGGCAGGGATCCTACCTAGGCGCTGTGAGACCTCCTCCATGGCAGCAGTCCCATGCAGGCACAAGTTCAGGGTTTTCACAGCCTTCAATGCCAAGTTGGCAGGGATCCTACCTAGGCGCTGGGAGACCTCCATGGCTGCAGTCCCAAGCAGCTGCACGTTCAGGGTTTTCACAGCCTGCAGCGCCCAGACCTCGACCTCCTCCTCCTGCTCCTACACAGCAGCAGTCCTCATCATCGGATTCGGAACTCGGTTGGCAGACAGCAACAAGGAAAGGGAAGGGCAAGAGATATGATTGAGCAAGCTGCGTGTCGGGTTCCCCCCATCGTTATCTGATTATTAGTAGTCTTTTAATTTCTTTGAGATTGACATTGACTACTGCTCATTGCTGCCTGCCGGATCATGGACTTGTTTGGCTTGTCCAGTATTTCGGATCTCGGACTTATTTGGCTTGTCCAGCATTTGACATCTTGATGTTCAATCAAGAAACTTTCATGACTTCATCTTAAAAAAAAGCTACTGTCATGCAGCCTGAGTTGTCAATTTAACCCCATTTTATTGCCAGGATTATATCTGTCATTTGTTGTTTGCAATTGGCAAAGTTGTCTAGAGTTTTAGGCCCCAGATACAGCTGTCATTTGTTGTTTGGAATGGGGAAGTTGTCCAGAGTTTTAGGCCCCAGATACAGTCCCGAAAATCATGGGCTGCACACTACACAATCATAAGACCACCAGAATGCAATGCAGCATGGACTAGTCTATGTCCAGAAGTTTGACAGTTATCAGATGTAAATGCACTCAGCCACCCGGTTAGTCGTTTCAAAGTTTGTTTTGATAACTATGGTGCCCTTGGGGCAAATCTTGAAACACCTGGGCGAGTTGGCTAACACAGCATGTGCATTCAACATCCACGTAGAGATTGTCATACATGCATTTCCCAGATTAATATAGGTACCCGAAATTCTCCATGGAGAGGACACATTACAAGACAGACAACCAAAAAGCGTAATGTGATCTGTCTCAGGGTTGAGCATCAAACAAGTTCTCTCAAACACATGGCACGAAGGCCTCCGCCTCCCTCCTCACGAAACAGAGCACGAGTCTTCAAAATGTGCTGTCATCCATCCAGTAAATCACTTCTTCAATTTTGCTTCCAGACCAATCTTCTGCATCACTCTCTCCTTTTTTGCCTCCTGCATCTTTTCACTTAGTTCCCAACTGCACAAAACAAAGGTATTTCCATTATGCTATAATGGAAATGGGGAGTTCCTCGTGTGGGAAAAAAAAACTGCACAAAACAAAGCAGAGTCACAAGGCAATCAATGTTCCATACTTGCATACATGAGATGTAAGAGTAGAAAACAAAAACCCAGTTAGATAATTTCTACATTCCATGTCTTGATAATTGTCATATATTATTTTAGTATGTACAAGTACAATTAACAAATCAAGTAGTTGCATCTTCATTTAATTATAGAGAACAACTTTAGCGTTAAGATATGCAACTATATAACTTTTGACATTACTGAGATGCTTTGATCTCGTAACTGTCTCCATACTTTCAACTCCCACCCTTAAAGAACAGGCCGGCTTCACCAACTAAACAAGGAAGCTCAGTTGGGGAAGCCGCCTACACCACACCATTATGTTATAGAGTAATGGATGTAACAATCACCTTAGGAGCATGACTGAATGTTTTTCAAAGTCATGGCCTATGTTACACGGATACGTCCCTGAAGCCGTGTATCGCGTATCCGATACGTATCGGATACGGATACGGATACGTGTCCGATACGCCCAGGATACGTATCCTCGGAGTATCCGATTTTTTATTATTTTCGTGCAAATTGGATACGCCATCCGACACGTATCTGGCCTGCCGATACGGCCCAGCCCAGTAAGAAGCCCAGGAAGACAGACCTTATCCCTCTGCCCCGACGCCCTAGCGTCCGATGTCCGTGAGTCCCGCACGGCTGCGCCTGGCGCCTCGCGCCTCATCCGCGCAAGACGCCAGAATTCGCCGCGCCGCTGCCGCTGCCACCGGGCGACGAGCCTCTGCCTCCGCCGCCGGGCGACGAGCCCCGTCCCTACTACGCCGCCGTCAGCGACGAAGTTTCTGCCCCCCCAGACGCTTGCTGCTGCGCACACGCGCGCGGGCAGGAGGTGCGCCACCGCTCGCCGGCCTCCCCCGCATCCTCCGTGCCATCAATCGACTTCTACAGACCGTCGCGCCGAGAGCACCACGCTGGGGAGCACCCACCAGTCCGCCGCGGCTGCAGCTAGCTCGCCCGATGCAGGGGCAAGGTGCAGGGAAGAGGACGATTCAGCAGCAAAGCAAGCTGCTGGCGACCTCCCATGAATACATCTCCTTTTCATACTTGATCTACTATTCTACTCTAGTTCTGCAGTTCTCGTTGCTTGATTTTGTGTGTTCCCCACATCTGCTTCATGATTAGTGTTTCCCATGCTTGATTGCTTGCATCCAATAGATGACCTCTACATATTTGGGTAGTGCCAGTGCAAGTGCTAGTCCTAGCATAGGATCTGTGGTCACCGGCCACAACCACAACATACATTAGGGCTCTCCTGTTCCTGACTTTCTTTTTTAGATAGAAATTTTGGTAATTGAGCATTAATCTAGCATTGTTACTCAAATTTTAGACTTTCACAATTTTAATTTGCATTATTATTTATTTATTATAAAAAATAGTAAAACGTATCCGCGTATCGTGTTTTCTTAGAAATTGTCGATCCGGCGATCCAGATCCTTCCGATACGGATACGCGTATATCCGTATCCGTGCTGCATAGGTCATGGCCACTGCAGATTTCTGACAAGGTTTCTTCTTTCTATACATTCTAGATCCTGATTACCAATAGCCGTGGTAGAATTTCAACTATGGGCGTAGCCTCCCTAGCCCCTACTGTTTACCTATCATGTTTCCTCTTTATATCTGTTGGTGAACGAGCTAAAAGATTTTTCTATCAGAAACAGTATGGTAATCAAGATGGTTTGTTCATAAGAAAGTAAAGATGTCAATATCATACAGCACATGCACTTGGCTTTGGAATGAAAAAAAAAGGTAATAGGGTCGAAACCCCGGCCATATGAGATAGCTTAATGCTGTGCACACGGGGATTCGAACCGTGGTTGCTAGCTCAACTCTAACACGAGCTAGCCAACCAGGCTCGAGCCCGCTTGCTTGGCTTTGGTATGTAGAGTTGGTTTGTAATGCGAAGAGCTAATTGGGTGAGGGTCGCACATTGTTTTATACTGGTTGCTCTGGTTTTGGTTAGGATCCCAAACTAATATAGGCTTTCTGACCATAGAACAAAAACAGGTGAACATAAATTGGAGAGTCATGGTTAAACAAAGTGTGAACAGAATAATACTTCTGTTCGCTAGCTTAATGGCATAATGCATAGTATTGCATCGACTTTAAACCATGATGAGATTAGGTTACAGTTTGACCATGCAATTTTAGCAGATTAATCTGTTCGTATCTCAACATGTCAAATCACTGGTAGCAGATTGGCTACTTATTTAACTTAGCATAGAAATTGCATATGCTAAATACCCGGCCACCTACACCATCATGTTCTACTTATGTTTTTAAATGTAAACTAGAGGCTGCTAAACAGAACAATACTTCCTGCAGCGTGCTACAAGCAAGATGCAATGGCAGAGGTAAATGCGGATAAAAAAGAACACAAAAATATTACCTTGTGATGGCATCCTCACTCAAGTAAGAGGAGACCTTGCTGGGAATAAAGTAGTGACCAAAGAAATTGTTCCGGCGGCCCCTTTTTGGGGGATATCCTTCTTCTTCTTCTTCACTGATATAGAGGGCGCTTGACTGTAGCTTCTTGTTCCTCATGTTGACCTCAATCATCCAGAAAAGGCCACGGTCCTTGTCCTTCAGCAAGAAGCAGATGACATCTGGATCACCCAAGCTCACCAAAGGAAAACTTGGCTGCACCCGTGGTAGGAAACTGTGGCCAGCGCCAAAAAGACTGAAAATTTTCTCTGCTCCCATGGTGGTGTCGACATCCATTGTCCATTTGCCTTCATGTTTGTCATCCAAAGTCCAAGTTGTTATGGCGAAGGGACAAGACGAAGCAGGACGTTCAGTAAGAATGCAGACGAGCTTAATGATGTCATTGTCAGTGACACAGACACACCGCAATGGGTCAGGTGAGCCGGCGTCCCTGTACGGACGGCGAGACTTCAAAGCCTTTTTAGGCAGAGGGATGTAACGGAGCGATTGCTGATGATCTGGGTCGCTGCTGCTGTCAGTGAGGACATCAACAAGAAGCATGCCCTGGTAGTAATCGACCCAGCACAAGCATCTGCCAATGGGCACGACGACGTCAGTCATCCACGAGTAGATGTTTATCTTCATGTCAGGAGGGTTCTGCACCTTCTTCACACTCCATTCCTTTGAGATGCCAGAGGCAGGAGGTGCATGGTGCAGCACGCAGAGCTCAAACTCATCATTCTCAGAAAATGCGAGTTGTGCCACCGTGAACTCGCCTTCGTCGCCATGGCACAGGATGCCCACATCTTGGTCCAACATGATGCGCTGCTGCTGGTTCCGGTATGGCTGGAAGAAATTATCAAGCTTGGGATTGGTGTCGCCGCCGTGGAAGCAAGGGGGAAGCAGAGTCAGGGTCGGCGGAGACGAGGATGAGCAGGAGTAGACGAAGTAGTCGTCGGGGAAGAAGGGACCTCTGCTCCACATCAGAGGATCCTCGAAGGGGTGGCCATATGGAAGAGAATGGAGTTGCGGTGGGCGGCGATGGCGGTGGGCTCCGAGAAGCCTTCGATCGGCGGCCTGCCCGTCCAGTGGATGTAGAGACGGAGACCGCGGGCGGGTCGGCGATCCTGAGGGAGGCGCGGACGGGGCGGCCGACGCAGTCGTGGGCGAGCGCCGAGGCGGTGGCGTCGTCTTCGACGACACCGCAACGCCTCCTGCTGCTGCGGTGGACGATGCGGTCGAGGATCAGCCACCTGGGGACGCGCGGCGGCGGAGGCGAGGCAGAGGGCTTCCTCTGCTCCGGGGCGGACGACCTCGTCGGAGAAGGGGGATAGCTTCCTCACGCCGTTGGCGGGGGCGCGCGTCGGGGAGCGGTTCCTCACGCCGTTCTCCCTCGTCGGAGAAGGAGGTAGCTTCCTCACGCCGTTGCCGGACGCGCGCGTCGGAGATCGGCTCCTCACGCCGTTCTCTGCTTCTTCCATGCTGCCGCCGCAGCAGTGGAGATCGACGGCAGGCAGCAGGGTTAGGGTTTCGTCTGGGAGCGATGAGATGGGGAATTGGGGTTGAGATGCGGCGGCGGGCGGAGCGGCGGAAGCGGATGGATGGATAGCGATTGGGGAAAGTGGATCACGAGCCACACCACACGACAAAATCCTCCACGGTCACTCAGGGTGTGTTTGGTTGAGCTATGCCTGTGGAAAAAAGCTGCTGTGGGCTGTGAGCTGTGGGAAAGCTGCTGTGGGCTGTGAGCTGTAGAAAAGCTGAAAGTTGTTTAGTTAAACAAGTATAAAATATACCTTCTATCTTTATCTCTCTTGAAACAACTATGGAAGAGCTTTTTATTCCACCAATTTCGAAAAGCAGAAAGCCAAAAGCCAAAAGCAGGGTCAAACCAGCTTTCAAAAATGTACTATGGAAAAGCAACTGCTTCCGAAAAAACCGCCTCCAAAAGCAGCCCCTTTGGTTGGGCTTTTGACTTTTGGGGCCAAAAGCCAAAGCCAAAAGCCCAACCAAACGGACCCTCACTCCACCCACACATGCGAAATGACAGCTTTACCCTCACTGGTTCTGCATTTCAGCGCGTGTTTAGTTCACATCAAATTCTCAAAAAAGTGCTACAGTACCTATCACATCGAATCTTACGATACGTGCATGGAACATTAAATGTAGACGAAAAAAACTAATTGCACAGTTTGGTTGGAAATTGCGAGACGAACGTTTTGAGCCTAATTAGTCCATGATTGAACATTATTTGACAAATAAAAACGAAAGTGCTACAGCAGCCCAAAATCCAAACTTCACGCAACTAAACACGCGCTCAGCTACCATTATTGTGCAGGAAAACTCAAAATCAAACCGAACCACCTCTAAAATTAAAACGCTAGGGATGTTCTTTTATATTCTGTTCCAAAATAAACACACATTTCCCTTCTCGATGATTCAAACACTTTTAAATTTATATCTTTATTTGCAAAAATAATACCAATATCTATATATCCAAATAAATTTATTATAAAAATATATATATTCCACGATCTACGTAATAAAATTTATTACATTAGTATTTTTTTAATATATATATATTTAGTCATCTTTAGAAAAGTTTGAATCATCGGCAAACGAGAATTTAACTTATTTTGGGATAGGGAAAGCATATTAGGTGAGAAAAAACTGAAAAGGGCCAAGCTGGTTATTTGCTTTGTACAAAAGTAAAACAATTACAATCTACTTCATCTGTTCCAAATTATAATTCGCTTTAACTTTTTTGGTACATCGATTTTTCTATGTATCTAGACCAATGTTATGTCTAGATACATAGCAAATACAATGTACCAAAAAAAGTCAAAGCGACTAATAATTTAAAATAGAGGGAGTATAACATTGAGGCACACTTAATCGGAAAGCGGCTGTTGAGCTCGTTTCCATCCCATGCTTGGCTTGTGGGCCGACGACGTCTACTTGGCCAGCCCCAATAGAAGGTGAAAGGAGGGGCGCAGATAGGGAAGGGATCGGAGGAGGAGGTGACTTGACCGAGGAGGCAGGGATCTCGTTGCCATGATCGCAGGTGTTGAGCTAGAGCTAAGAGAGAGATAGGGGAAGTGAGAGCAGGGTGGGTACATGGGCGGGTATGCTGGTAGTAGATGAGTGAAAAAACAGTGTCGAGGGAGGAATCGTCGACTAAAAGGGCAGAATACAAAAGACACCTTGAGGTGAACATAAGTGCCTAGCTGAGGCCATGTCAGATTAATATACACATTTAGATCTAAAGAATAAATTATCCAAGGGTTCTGATAGGAGGTGGAAAAATGTTATTTTATAATTGTTTACAATTTAATTTATTTAATTTAAGTGTTTGTGTATATCAATGCCTTTGCATCAATTTCATTGTGTGGAAATGAATTTAGAAAAATCAGTTAAGCTTTGAACAAGTTTTGATATATTTTTCCAAATGGTGATTCCGAGGATGGAACCATGATACTGGCATACTTCTTTCAACTTAGTATTCCACTCTTTCATGGAAAAGCCTTATAGCAGAGATTTTAATGTCTAATAGGGCTCTAGAATTTGATAGTTAGGACCTATGATCCCATCTTGGCCGCCACCTCCATCTTGCATATGCATTTGTGCACCATATCACTAGTGGATGGTGAAACAATTAGAGATCCATGCAAATAGGCTCCCCAAGCTTTCATACGACTTGCCGGTGTGACCATTAGCTTCTATCGCATCGCTATGTTAATCATCACACCCACAATTTTTAGTTTAGCATGTAAACAGAAAACACTAAATAAAATAAATGATTATATTTTTTCTAAATTTTTGAATCTTACTTAAATTTGTTGTGAATCTATGAAGTGAAAAATGTGATTATATAATTGTTTACTATTTAATTTAAGTGTTTGTCTACATCAATGCCTTTGCATCAATTTCATTGTGTGAAAATGAATTTAGAAATTTCGATTAAGCCACAAAGAAGTTCTTTTATATTTCATAAATAAAATTTCCAAATGGTGATTCGTGGATGGAACCATGATACTAGCATACTATATTCCACTCTTTCATGTACAAGCCTTATAGTAGAGATTTTAATGCAGTAAAGAGGTTGAACTTAGCCTCCTGTTTTGTAAACTAAATTTTTCAACACCCGTTGGAGAATTTTAGATATTGTCAAGTATATTTAGTTTTAGATTTGGTTCAAAATGTAACTTTACAAGGACACATTCCTGTCTTAACAATCAAGCAATACATAACTTACAAAGAAAAGTTGGTATTAACAAGGGAGGATCTGTACGGACCGATTTCAACAACAGTTGTGCAACTGTCTTCTAACAATTACTTGGTTGTTAATTGCCCTCTTGAGCTATTCTTCATATGAAATGTTGGTTTTCTTCACTTTTAGGGTTTCAAGGAGCTATGGTCATGATTGGTTCGATGACCAGCAGAGCTTGGCTCGCTCCTACTGGCTAGTCCAAGCTGGGACAGGTCTGCTGCATATATGGAAGTCCTACTAAGGCCCTGTTTATATCCCATCCAAAATCAAAAAAAATTCAAGATTCCTCGTCACATCAAATCTTGCGGCACATGCATGGAGCATTAAATGTAGGTAAAAAGAATAACTAATTGCACAGTTTGCCCATAATTGGCGAGACGAATCTTTTAGCCTAAATAGTCCATAATTGGACATTTTTTGCCAAATACAAACGAAAGTACTACAGTAGCCAAAAGCCAAAAAATTTCGCATCTAAACGGGGCCTAATTGGTTGACTGGATGAGTACATACATGGATGAGTGCATCAACTGTTTGGTTGCCCGTTCGTTTGGCTGCTGCACTCACTCTCTCTCGCACGAGCCAGGCCCGAGAGAAACGGAAACTATTTTGGTGTGTTTGGTTTCCTGGCTTGCTTCTAGTATGGCTACCATCTAAAGCCTAGACAACCTTGGCAAGAATGAGTTCTCGGAGGCAGAGCTGATGCTCCTCGGATAGGGTCATCGTGCTTGAGTCCACGGACAGAGGAGGAGGAGGAGCTCTGCACGATCTTCCTCGACCCCATGGAGCCTGGCCACGTCGTGCACATGCTCCCCGGCCGGTGGCGCATCATCTTTGGCGCCTGCTGGTGGGTCACCCCATGGGCTCTCCGTGGTTGTGGAGGACGCGCCGGCGGCAGTGAGGTCGCAGCGGCTGGTCACGACGAGCTCCTCGCGGGTGGGAACGCGCGGACGCCGACGATCTAACAGGGGAAGCAGGTGACCGGCACCCGGACGCGGAGGAGCTGCATAGACGCCGAGGAGCTGCCGGGGAGGCGGGTGGCGGTGCACGCGTAGACACAGCGGGAGGTGACGCGAGCGGTTCCGAGCGCTACCTGGGGCCTGGCTTCGCGGAAAAGGCTACCTCGTTTCCAGATGGCCTAGCTAACAGGTTGTCGGTGGCTTACCTGGGCCAGGCTCCGGGCTCTAAACAGGTAAGCAAATAGGCCGAAAGTGGCTTCTGGAGCCTGGTCTGGGGTTAGCCACTCCAGAGCAAGGCTCGGCGGGGCGCTTTGCATGCTATCGGCTAGGCCCTAGCAGCCATGCAGAGAACCATGTGGCTGACTCCCACGTCCCACATGCCACGACCAGCTAGTCTGGATGCAGGACTCCAAACAAACTCTACACGATGCCTTTTATATTTCTTTATCGAGTATAGGTTTGGGACTTGTTAGCACAATGCTTGTGTATATGTACCAGTAAAAAAGTTTAATAGTAGATGTCAGTTTATGTTGTTTTTGTATATATTTGCACTATGCTTCTGTGTACGAGTTAAAAAATTCTCTAAATTCTTGATCTCAGATGACCGGAGACTATGTGAGTGTACACCTTGATTTTTTCCCAAGCACTGCCTATTCATAATTTTTTTTGCCATACATCATTCTCGATTGGAGCAATGGGCAATACCCAGTGTTCTATTCTTTCTACTATGCTTAGAGACCCTTTGGCACGGCTTCACCTCTGGCTTCTTGCAACTCTTGTCGTGGATCCATGTTGAATGACCATTAAAAAATCGTTTCTTGCAAGGAGTCCGAAGGAGCTAGAGCTGTTTTGTACCGAGGAGTAGTGCTGATCAATCGATTTAAACATGATAGTTCAGTTAGGTGTTTTCGGTGGGCAAAAGGTTCGGTTTACAGAAATTAGGAACCGATTGGTGGAACATAGAAAAAGAAAGCGACGTATTCGGTTGTCGGTTGAATCAGTTCGGTGTTTGGTGTCACCGAACTTAAAAGTGACCATGCCAATTTCCTCTCCCGCACATCTATTCCCTACTTGCACGCCTCACCGGACTTGCACTACTACATAGTTGATCATCACTGCCGCCACTTTCACCACCGGTTTGCTCCAAACCGGTGGTGATACTCATCACGTTGGTGAAATGATTTTCACCGCCGGTTCGTGTTACGTACCGGTGGTGAAAATGGGGCGGATTTTCACCGCTGTTTTGTGTTACGAA